GTTTTGAACGTTTGAATGTTTTTTTACTTATCTTAAGAAATACATTTTTTTAAGTATACATTTTCAATTTCAGAGTTAAATGAATTTATAGTCATGGCATCTGGGGTCACCACTGCTATCCAAGAAGAATGTAGGTGGAGTATACATAATTCCAAGACATTGATAGATTTATACGGTAAATATAGGGAAAAAGTTGGAACAATGAAAATTAGAAGTTTAAAACAAATGTGGGCAATAATTTCCGACGAAATGAGTCAAACATACAAAATGAAAATTAATCCGAATAACTGTGAAAATCGATGGCGCGTTTTGGAAAGAAATTATAAAAAGTATGTCGAAAACAAAAATAGTACAGGACGAGGAAAGAAATATTTTGAATTCAGCGAAGAAATGGACCAGATATTTGCACATAAAAAAAATGTCCACCCTGAAATTTTACTATCCTCTGAGGAGGTTCATGATGTTCTTAATTTTTCCGAACAAGATGTTTGTCCAACTCAAGGACCTTCTGGTCCATCAACCTCAAAAAAGGACACAAATGAAAACATTATTATTTATCAAGAAGAAGTTACTAAAAAAAAAAATTTAAGAAAGAAAATTAGCACAATTGAAAAAATTAGACAAGATAGATTAAATTACCAACAAAAAAGATTAGAAATAGAAAATGAAAAATTACAACTACTTAAAAATAGGAATGAGCTCATTAAGGAAAGGAATGTGATATTGCAATTACAATGTTGTTGCAAAAAAAACAATACTTCATATGAATACTCAATTGTTGGATGCGATAAGACTGCAGTAATGGAAAGCGATGATCAAGATATTATTTGCCTGTGATTATTATTATTAAAAAGTGGGACTGAAATTTAATTTTGTTATGTTTTAAAATTTAAATCTATTGTACTATACATAAGTAAACATACAACTTTTAACTTACCAACCTCCTCCACTAAATATGGTTTAAAAAATAAAATAAAATATAATATAATAGATAGGTATGTATATTGTATATAAATATATTTACATAACTAAACGTAACTTAAATTTAAACTCTTAACTACTAATAATTAAATAAAAAGTGCATCTACTATTCTGTCCCTAATCCTTTTGGCATCTTGGTCTTCCTCAATATCCTCTTCCTCCAAAATGCCTTGGTTTTGTGGTACAGCTTGTATTTGTGCGTTTGATGCAGAGAAATCTTCTGAAATTTCTTCTAGGAATTCATCATCAATGGCAATGTTGTATAACACACAACACGCTCGCATAAAATGAACAATTTTAGTGATGTTTCTGAATTTTAAGTGATACAACTGTCTAAATTTTTGCTTCAAAATTCCAAAGCAGTGTTCAATGCGATATCTGTTTTGGCTCAACTTTAAATTATAATTAAATTGCTTCCTTGTTAACTGCCCTCGGTCCTTGAATGGGGTCATCAATCGCTTATGTAATGGATACCCACTGTCACCGAGCAAGAAATATGGACCACATTTTTCTTCCAAAGTATTGCAGACTGGTGAATTTCTGAATACCCTGCTATCGTGTACGGACCCAGGATAACCGGCAAAAAAATCAATGATTTTGCGGTTGTGGTCACAGACAACCTGCATCTGTATTGAATAATATCCCTTTCTATTTATGTATGAATCTGGATCATTATCAGGTTTATCTATCTTGATATGGCAACCATCGATAGCCCCTATAGCCATAGGAAATCCATTAGCTCTGAATGAAATCTCTGATTCTTGTTTTTCTTCATCGTTAGGCCATTTGATTATTTGTGGTGAATAGTTGCTCAAAAAATATGTAAGCCGTTCAATAATTCTATGCAGAGAACTTAGTGTAATATTGAAACGGTCTGCAACATCACGGAAGCTTGCGGTTTGGTGCCCAACAAACCACATAAATATAAGGACCTAAAATCAATAAATGGTAAAGTGGTAGGTGCATTGTGTGAACTGTTAATATTATATTAAATGCTAGCTAATACCATTGAGTATATTATATTATAATCAATGCTCAAATAGGTACTATGTACATAAACTGAACTAAAACACTACCAACCTGGTCATCCGCAGGTATTTTACCAAATTGGCCATGTCTGTTTTTTTTAAAATAATTACTTTCTCTGTACAAATCAGTTATTCTTGTTGTCAAATGACGACTAATCCTGAAATGCCCAAAATATGTTTCACAATCATATTGTTGGACAGTTTCTTCTAAACAAAAAAAAAAGTAAATTAATCGTTAATAAAACAGAAGCCCGTTAACATCTACTCACCTATAAAACGTTCGTTTTTTATTTTATGGTTATTAATTAAGTCCAATCCGTCGTCAGAGGAAGAACTGGATGCAAAAAAGTCATCAATATCGTCAATATCGCTCATTTTTAATGCAATTAACAGCAACCACAGACAAGTTTACTAAGCAAAAAGTAAACCATAGAAAAAGAACTAGTAAACAGTAAACTAAGCTGTATTTACAGCAACCGCCAACCACAGTATGAATGCCGGTGAGACCATTGAGATTTGAGACCGTTGTAAGGTAGGCACTAGGCAGGATCGTAGGAATGCAGGATATGCTTATCACCTTCTGGCTGCTGGGTCTTCAGTTTTCTATTCATACTCGGGGACAGCGACCCTACTACCAGTATTACGGCACCATACTTTTTATTTTAAATTTGGGCACACTGTAAGCGCAGTCCATCAGTATTCAGTCAGAAACGCGTTCCAACAGTGGTCAAAATCCACGATCAGTCCACGGTAGCGCATGCGCCGTAAATCAATCATGGATCAGTCGGCAACTAGTCCCAAATCCCGTGTTGGAACAAACCTATAATTATCTTAAATCGTGATACTATCTACACGGGTTTTCAACAACACTGTGGTTATGACCACGATTAAAGATATTATTTATGGTTATGAGTTATTACAACGTATTATCACAATATTTGATAAAACTGTTTGTTTGCTTATAATTTATATCACGATAATATTCAAAAGTGAGACTGTTGTTATCTATTACTTTTGGTTGTGTGATATTGTGATAAATTAAAATCTGCAAATTTATAAATTTATAATTACGAAATTTATGAATACCTATTCAATATACCAGGATAAAAAAAAATTTTAATTTGTCAATTGAAATTTGAATTCATATTTGATATTACACATTTTACTTTTGCCGTTATAGATAAATTTCTAATAAGAAAAACGAGTGCAGCAGTATCTCAATCATCATCAAAAATTGATGTAGACGATGTGGTGAGTTAGTTAATACTTAATTATATTATTTGTACAATAAATAATATAGTCCATACAGGAAAGTAACATGAAATTATGTTAAATATGTCGATTATCATATTTTAGACTAAAACTGATAAAGACAAACATAAACGTTCTGTGGAAGATGATGAAGATGTTACCACCAAAATTGCCAAAACTGTAAGTAATTACCTACCTACTCGTACTTCTTAATTACATTTAATTTAAAAAATGACCTATTTGTTTAGCAGTTAGCAAAAACTACAAGATCATTTTATCATATTGTATTATATTAGTTGAATTAATGATTTTATTAGTAAAATTAAAAACTTGTATAGCTATGACACAATACTATTGATACTATATGGGACTAACAATTAATGTTTTTTTTTTTTTTTAACAGAGTAAGAATGTCCCGAACTTGAGAAATTCTGAAAACAGCTATGACAATGATATTACTGATTCTATGGATATTGGATTACTGATTCAGCAGTTAGAAAAGGTTTTTATAAAAAATTATTTTATGTTTATAATTTATATATGTTTAAATGTATAATATATGTATTTATGTTTAGATTTTAGATTCTGTATGGAATTATAAACCTGTTTGTTTTTACATTATGTTATTATGATTGTTTTAACTATAAATATAACAATTATCTATTTGTATTATTTTTTTTTTTATGTCTATGACCTGTGTTAATTTTGTGTGCATTAATGGCCAATTGGTAATAATAATAATATAGAATGTATACAATAAATAAAATATAAATTTACACCAATAGACAATAGTAAGAACTGTGGTAAATATAATTTTATAACTTTAAACTTATATAATGCATGGAATTAATATTTTAAAAAAGATTTCTGCAATTAGTTGTTGACTGCTTTTGGTATAAATAAATAATAACATTTACAATGTAGCTAGATAATTGCATTTAAGCTTTGGATTTGATTTAATTTTAGTTATATTTAGTTTATTTGATTTACTTTATTTTTACAACTTTTGTTTTAAGTAGTTAATTGAGTTCAAATTAATATTTCAATTGCATTTCAATTTATTGTAGATTGACTCAAATAAAAGAGCAGAACTTCTTTTAAAAATTTGGGAACCAGATCATACTTTTAAATTTCCTATAAGTGTAGATCGAAAATTAAAGTTTCAAATTAGCTGGTTAAAAAAATAGTCTTGGTTAACTTATTCAAAATTACATGATGGTGAATTTTGTAAATTTTGTGTTCTTTTTAAAAGAAACGAAGGTGGTCGCGGTAATCAAAAGTTAGGCAAACTTGTTATAGAAAAATTTTCTAATTGGAAAAAAGCGATTGAGGAGTTTAACAAACACGAAGCTACAAAATATCATAAAAATTCAATTTTAGATGCTGATAGTTTATTATCCATTTACAATAAAAGTAAGGAATCTATTGATGTTCAGTTAAATAATAAGTTAAAAATTTAAATACAAGAAAACCGTAAAAAAATAATTCCAATCATCGAAACAATTATTTGTTGTGGACGTCAAGGGTTTTGAGAAGCCATAATGATTCAGGAATTATAAGTTTACAAAATTCTCAAATTTATAATGATGGTAATTTTAGAGAATTTTTAAGATTTAAAGTTGAAGCTGGCGATAAAAATGTAGCCAATTATTTAGAGACAGCTCCACGGAATGCGACATATCTCAGTCCAGAAATTCAAAATGAAGTAATTAATGCATGTTCTAGTTACTAGAATCTAGTATGATCATTGAACAACTTGTTTCTAAGATTAATAGTGCAAAATGTTTCACGGTATTGGCTGATGAAACAACAGATATTTCTGGAATTGAACAGTTCTCGTTATGTGTTATGTATTTGGACATATTCAAAAAAGAAATGAGAGAAGATTTTTTGAAATTCATTCCTGTTCATGATGTTACCGGAAAAGGATTAACAACTACTCTAATGGATAGCTTAAAAGAATTAGGACTTGAGTTTAAGTATATACGTGGTCAGGGATATGATGGTGCCGCCGCTATGAGTGGACACTTTAATGGCGTTCAAGCTCATGTGACCAAAAACTACCATCTTGCTCATTATATTCATTGTAGTTTACATAGTTTAAATTTGGCGATTTCGGATGCTTGTAATATTCAGTCTATTAGGAACTGCACAGGAACTATTCAGAAAGTTTGTGTCTTCTTTAAATATCCAAAAAGAAACAATGTCTTAACAAAATCAATATCTTTTATATCTTCTTCTTTAAATGTTAAACGTTTGAAGTTACTTTGTCCTACTAGATGGGTGGACCGTCATGACTCTATACTTGTTTTTATAGATTTATTTGATGCTATCGACAGCTTAACAAAAGTATGTTCTTGGTGTGATAAGGATTCTTCATCAGGAGCATATCAATTATTATGCTCTATAAAACAGCCAGAGTTTATACTAGCAACATATGTGTTAGCAAAAGTATTTGGTATAAGCTTACCACTAAGTAAACATCTCCAAACTAAAAATATAGATCTGATTGATGCTAGGTTAGCAGCAAGAGGTGTTCTTCATTGAACATCTCAGTAACCTCCTAAGCTCAGGTACTTAGCTATGAGAATAGGTTGGCACGGAGGAGGTAAATAAACCGTGTCTATAGGGATCCCACAGTCCCCTGGGAAGGGCTGGGTAGAATCCCTTATTATGTCTGAGGGGCGCAGAGACATAATGGACTTTAAAGATCGTCCTCCACTCGTGGGATTAGGTATGGAAAATTTAAAAAGGCAAAACGATGATTATGAAGATATGGATAAGGACAAAAATGGACAGTTGGGAGAAAGAAGAAAGGAGTCTTCTATTACAGTTGATCAGGAGGAAACTCCTACCAATTGTAAGAAGAGATTCAGGGCAGAGGAGGGTGAAGGCGTAGATAGCTTCACCTACGGTGCGGGGTCTATAACGGACACCGCCGAATTGCGGGATTACACCTGCAATTTAGGACGCCGTGGGAGGGAGTTATCAGATGAGCTTCTCCGTCTCGTCGTTACGATGAGACTGGAGAAGTCAGCGATGACGAAGGCAAGGGAAGAATCCTTCATGAAGACCCGTGCAAAAATTATGGGTGTCGTGGACGAACTCGTCTACGCGCAAATGATTATGCAGGGGAGACTTCTGGAGGCAAGACACCTGAGACGTTCTGAGCTGGTGAAGGGAGCAACTCCAGTAGAAGGAGTCGAAGAGAAGGGTGTACCTGCGGAGATGAATTCATCGCCAATGGACACACTTATCAGAGATGACTTCGAGAAAGTTGTGACCGGCATTCATGCCGAAGTGTTAAGGGAGAGGAAAGCGTTGAAGAGGAAGAAAAAGAGCGAAAGAAAGTCGAAGAGAAGGAAGGAAAAGAGTGTAGAGTTGGTATTGGAAAAGGGTCCTACGCCTGTGGCTATAACGGACACCAAGGCATCAACCTCTAAAGAGTTGACTGTCGCCAAACCGACTGGAAAAGATCCGATTCGAAAGGTTGTTGAAAAACAACCCAAGAAAAGGAAACTAGTACAAAAGGCGTTGGTGACAGAAGGGCGAATACGGGAGGAAAACCCGGTACGACCCCGCCTTGAAAAGCCTGTGACACAAAAGCAAGGCGCTTGGACGACGGTGAAAAGGAAAGTAAAGAAAGCTAAGAGGGCCGTCCCGAAGGATGTAAGGATACTCCTAGAGGAAACAAAAAAGGTCAGAGAGAAGGGTTGCGGGGCGTTCATCGTTAACTTGCCGCGGAAAGGAGAGGCTGGTTCGGAGAAACCGAAAGTTGTCCCAGAGGCAACTGAGGCGGAACTGATCAAGACTCTCTGGGAAGCGTTGAAGACGGGGATGCACAACCCGAAGCTCAAAAAAGTGAAGAAGGTTGGGGCGGAAAAGTTGTATGTGGAGCCCAATGATGAGGAGAGTCGGAAGCTGCTCCAAAACGCTTCGCTCGACCTCCGTCGAGCGGGCGAGAGAAACCCTCGAGTAAAAATATTCGGGGTAGGAATCGAGGTAAAGGATTGCGAAATAGCCTTCCAACTGGAGAAGCAGAACTTTAGTTCTGTTAATCTAGGTATGGGCTGGAGTAACAACCTTGAACTGATTCCTAGGAACAACAGGGTAACGAGTAGGGGACGTGACGTGGAGTTTGAGGTCACGCCCGAGGTTGCTGGCGAGATTGTGGGCCAAACGCTGTTCGTTGGGCTGTCCCGTTGTCGGGTGGGCCCCAGTGTAAAAGTATTGCGGTGCCATAAGTGCCAGCGATACGGACACATTGGTGCGTCCTGCAAGGCTTCGGTGGTGGTCTGCGGGCGGTGTGCTGGCTCGCATCACGCTGCGTGCTGCACTGCTCGTCCGGCCGCGATACGGTGTGCTTGTTGCGCCGCTAGTGGTTGGTGGATTCAGGAAGTGAGTGCATCTCGGTGACACCTCAAAGTAACTCACATTGGGAGATATTCCGGCGACTTGAAGTGACGTCATTGATAAAACGGTGGTGAACCTGGGACGGAAACTGGCAACAGATGCCGCTGTCCGAGGTATGCGAAGGTCTGACAATGTGTGTAATTCCAGGAGCGCATGGTAACGGAGTGGGACGTTTGCCAGTAATGGCACTGCAGTTGCTCTGCAATCTGCCTCATCAGGTGTCAGCAAAACCAGCGGCAGATGCGGTTTAGGAACCGTAGTAAACGTGATGAGCGCATTTGGGGCTCTTTCTGAGTGATTAAGAATTCAAGCGAGGGATCAAACTTCCGGCCGACGTGCGCGCCGCCAGAGCAATACGGG